AAAGATTTAATCTTGAATTTATGTTCCAAGACAAACCATTTTTCTCGTTTTTCTAAACGTAATTAGGTTATTCTGAAATTTAAGTTCTGAAATATCCTCTAAAATATTATTGAGTTTCTAAGGTCTATATTGATCTAAAACTTATATATATATATATATATATATATATATATATATATATATATATATATATATATATATATATATATATATATATATATATATATATATATATATATATATATATATATATATATATATATATATATAGATGTCCCATCATGTTTTTAACAAAATCATCACATAATGTCTCAATATTCGTATCTCGTATTTGTCTACTTCAATGGTGAGAGACTTCTCTCTTGAGTTTAGATTCAGAGAGATCACTCGTCTTGTCGATCTGAATTCCACACTAGAGAATATGTACCAATACCCAGATAATCGAAGAGTTGTGAAGCTTTATTATCGTTCACTCTCGATTGATAGTTACGTGGAATGCATTTCACTGTTATGAAACAAAACATCCGATCGAGGTAGATGCAACAGTTGCAATATCAACAAAAGATATTTTAAAAATATTGAAATGTCCTCAACTATCTCTTGATGATAAATATAATGTTAGATTTACGCTAACGAAAATTTATATACTACATTTTTATGTATTTATGTATGTCATAATAAAAAATTATTATGTTCTTTCTATTTGTGCTATTGCTTTTTTGTGTGGGATAATAAGAATGATTTTAGAAGTTAACCTCCATAAACAATACAAAAATTAGAGTCCAGGTTATTTTTGTTTTTTCAGATATTGGGTCTAAGACTTGACTGCGGTTGCATTTTGCGTGCGTCCGGAAATTAAATTCCAAATTTTATAAACATTGTTAATTTTTCACTAAGGATACGAAGGTCAATCCCAAAAATAGTTGTACTTTACACCCTAAAGAGAACACTTGAACAGAAAATTATTCTCACAATTGATAATTGTCCACATAAACTCACGCTATTAGATTATTATCCATAATCATTCGAAACTATTCAGGCTTTATCAGTAAATGACTAACATACACAACTAGTCTTGCATTTCACTGTCACCTGTAATTTAACAACATGTTGCATTTGTTGTGTATATTTTATATATTATACTATAAAAGGTATCAAACTATAGTCCCAATTTTGACCATGGAGGATATAGCTGGTGGTACAGTGCCATCAATCTCATTTCAATTACTTGAATAATTAAGAGCTGTACTTGTGAGTTTTCCACACACTTATTTGCAGTATTTGTTGAACCACACCGCAATGTTAAGGATGCTTTCCCATTCAGATTGTGGCCTGCACAAATATAAAATAAGATTATGATTCTATGTAGGAATGCTGAGGGGTTTATGATGGACTTCTCTACCTTTTGAGTGCATGAACATCATTTTGAAACATGATGATTTTGACCTCTGCGCCATTCTCTTTTAAAGCTCGAGCATACTATAATCATTCAAACAATGAAAGTTCAATTGTCATACAAAATCAAGATGAAAACCATGAAAGACTGAGAGCTATAAGTTCTTACTTGCAGCCCATCAAAGTTTGGAACACGGCGATCTTGCGCACCTAAAAGGAAAAGTGTTGGTGCCTTTACCTAAAGAATTCATGAAAAGACATAATGCCAGAAATCAACTATACACATCATCATTAGGACCAGTCAGGGTAATTCAATCATTAAGAGTTCTTGTAATGACATGGTAATTCAATCTAAAAATGTTTGGTTCAATTTAAGACCTTTGAAACGTGTGAAATAGGAGATTTTCTGTAGAAGAGAGACAAATCTTCTGCTGAAAGTGTTTCCGTAAACCGATTTCTTGCAATGGTTCCACATGCCTCTACATAACACCAATCAGGAATATCGGTTGTACCAACCATCAGTGCAAAGTTACAAACAGGATTAATTGCTGCAGCTGCTACAAACTTCTCTGGTGCCTGTAGCAATTAGAAATCCAAACAACACACTATGATTAACAAAAGCCACCACACTTCATTAAAGCAGACAGTAACTGGACTTACTGCACCTGGCCAATCAAATGAGTCGTCAAAAAACCACCATGTGAAATTTCCATCACCGTAATCTTGGATGGACTGGCAAGACCCAAGTTGATCACATGATCTATGGCAGAGAGAACATCATTGACATCCTACACATGAAAAACTAAGAGATACAACTAGAAAATCCAGTAGAGTATGCAACAAGCTTATTAAGCATATGTTCGCTTAGATAGTATTACACTATTACCAAAGTTTATTCGGATGTTGAAAACAATAAATACTAACCTGAGATCCAACTTTCCCTGGAAGAGACTGTAGTGCTTCCTCGCCAAATCCTAACGAACCTCTGAGAGATATAATAAGGTGTAAGAGACCTTAGATAGACATTATCTTCCATACTTTCGCACTCTTTTACTTTTCTAAGCTAGTGATTCTGATGTTGTAGCATACAGATTCGGAAGAATCTGAACAAGCCGCTAACTGTATTTTAAACTAGTTAAGCCAACTAAGCTAATTTTTTCATAAAAAATGGAAGCCTTAAGTTCATTATGTACGAGTTAAATCAACAATCTCTAACTGTATTAGAAGCATGAATAACCTATAATTTACAATCAACAAGCTATATCCAACCGAAGATAGAAATGCCCAAGACTTGGAGAAGTGTGACAAAGAGACGTCTTGTGGCCCTCCGTGAAGGATCACAATTAATGGATCAAGTAAATCCTTGTTCAAGGTTTTGGATGACACAAATAAAGCTTCAAAAGGTTTGGCAGCACCTGAAGTTAAAACAAATACATATTAATGATTCGGTTAACTTGACTAATCCCAGAATTTGATTAAGATTTACTCATAGATATCAATATACAAACATTCATTGGATTTGTTTTAAAAGTACGTAGTCACCAAATAAACGGTTGCATTCTATGAGAAGAAAATCGTTAATCAATTTAATGAACTCATGAATCTCAATGGTGACATAACAAACAATGCAACTTAAAGACCTTTTATTGGATCATTCGGAGCATCTGTGACTGAGATATTCAGTATACTGCACTTGAGAGAGGACAACAAAGACCTAACCTGCAACCAAAATCCAGTGAGTCACGTTTAAACACATATGAATATACTTTTGAAACAGTGGTTTTCATTAATATCTCAAAAGAAATAGATTAAAAAAACCTTGTCAGAGCATTTGAATATGGGACTGGTTATCTTTGACCAATTCCATGTAGTATTTTCCTTTTCCTTCTCAATGACCTTTCCGTACATAATTTGAGGAACATTGACCGGATTGCTGGAAGCTGCAAAACAATCGACAAGCAATCGGGATAAAACTTACTTCACCACTTTAGATGACCAAAGTAGAGATATATTGAAAATTTGTTCTTACTTGCAAGAATATTGTTCCCATTCAATGTAAGAAGATTCCACGAGAAATTTGAGTCTGCTGGGCTGATACGTAATACTTCCCCGCTATAATATGACCAAAAAAATACGATCATAAAGAATACATAAACCATTTATGAGCGGAGAAAAGAAAAGCATTACTACTGTTATATAGTTACCTCAACACATTCACTGAAAGTAGAACTTCACAGGTCTGCCATATGGATGATATGATCATTGTGCAGTTGTCAGAAAGCCAAGGATTATCATGGATAGTTGTACAATAAAGCCCGGGGAAACAACCATCTTCGGCACACATTACAACAGGAATCTTCAGAATTGATAGAAAAAACCAGAGTTATAACTGAAAAAAACATGCACCTATGACTTCTGTCTTCTGCAAAGATTACCCATTGTACATAAAAATGGGTTCTCCATTGATTATCATGTCACCAAATCAGTCCCTCAAATTCAAATATACATAACATTTACAAAATCCATAATTTTCTATCACCACTTTGTCCCTCCATATGTGTGGCGGTTTAGATCGTTGAGAGACTTATTGAGAGAACACTCTTTAGAAGACTAATGTGATGGCACCATAATTTTTGGACGAGTAATTTAGGAGTTAAACTGAAGTCTAAATTTAAAAAAATGCTAGCAAACCAAATCCAATCAAATTAAGCCAGCAACAGATCTTACGATGTCGTAAATTTTGGCGGATTGGTACAGTTTCCCATCAGTTGGCCAATCAATCCTATGAAGTGAATTTGTAGCATTGTGCACTCCAGAATCCACAGCAGTTTTTGCAGATAAAAATACAAGAAACTCTCCATTTGGACTGGTAGAAAATTCATGAATGATGGTTAGTAGATCAGGCAGACCACGCATATACTAATATTTCTCAAGAACTGACTCAGTTTCATAAGCCATTATTTGATTAACTTTGACAATTAACTTTGCACGGGCAGAACAGAATTTTAGGAAAATGCTGACCACTGAAAATCCAGAGATACAGAAAATAAATGAAAAAAAATGAAATCTAACAACTTACATCACAGGTGCACGCCATAATCTAGAAATTTGTGCAAAATTGTTTTTCACTCTCAAGGATACGAAACAAAAGTAGACTAATCGATAAATATACAATTATAGGTTAATTAATATTGAACACAATGACCTAATCACAAGTATCTGATTCCACCGGCTTACCTGAATTGCGGAAAAAGAGCACTACTTATCGTTGAAGTTAGATTCAGTGCATGCAATTCTTCAGTTGAGCTACATGTACAAAGGTAGTTTCATAACTCTTTTCAGAAATAACCAAACTTGCCGACAAATTTGTACTTTGTGAAAGTTACAGGAACATATGGAGTTAAGAATTTCTTACTAAAATGACTCACTGGTGCTCTGGTTCCTCGGATTTTGACTCATACATGGTGCTCTAACCGCATACAATGCACAAGGCCTGTTAGAGCAGTACTTCATACCAAGCTTTCTTGCCTCAGATGACCACCCAACAAAAACAAGACACTGTTTCGAAGTTTCGTTAAATGGAGCCCACACAACTTGGCCAACACTCAAAGATTTGTCGATTCCTTTGACAGCTTGTACCTCTCCACTGCATAAATACTAGAGGTGGCAATTAAATCCATTAAGGCAAAATCCATCCAATCCATCCATCAAAAAATCCATCCAATCCATCCACCACACAAAAAATAAGTTAATGGATTGGATTAAATCCATCCATTTATATGCATGGATGGATTCAATCCATCCATTTATATGCATGGATTGATTCAATCCATCAAACATATTTTAAGGATCCAATGGATTATTTTTATTTTCGTTAGATTTATTTTTTTAAAATTAGATTTTTTTAAAAATAATTAAAAAACTATATTTTTTTTCTGAAAAAAAAAATTTAATTTTTTTGAAAAAAAATTTGTTTTTTTTTCAGAACAAAAAACTGATTCGTTTTTCGAAAAAAAAAAACTGACTTTTTTTTTGGAAAAAAATCGATTTTTTTTCAGAATAAAAAACTGATTTGTTTTTCGAAAAATAAAATAAAATTTTTTTTCGAAAAAAAACCGACTTTTTTTTTTGAAAAAAAAAATTAATTTTTTTTTTCTGAAAAAAATCGGTTTTTTTTTCAGAATAAAAAACTTATTTGTTTTTCGAAAAAAAAATTTAGAAAAAAAAAAACCGACTTTTTTTTTGGAAAAAAATCAATTTTTTTTTTAGAATAAAAAACTGATTTGTTTTTCGGAAAAAAATAAAATTTTTTCTCGAAAAAAAAAACCGACTTTTTTTTTTTGGAAAAAAATCGGTTTTTTTTTTCAGAATAAAAAACTGATTTGTTTTTGAAAAAAAAATATTTATTTTTACGAAATTAAAAAAAAAAGTTGGATGGATGGATATCCATCCATTAAAAATATGTTAATGGATGGATTGGATGGATTTTATTCTTAATGGATGGATCGGATTGGATAATTTTAATAAAATTTTAGTGGATTTTAATGGATTAATGGATTGTTTTAATCCATCCATTAGCAATCCAATCCATATCCATCCAATCCATCCATTTTGCCACCCCTAATAAATACTAGTTAAACTAAGATTTACTCAGTGTTGTCTATCGCAAATCATGGAAAATAGAACTTTGTTCATATTCCACCATACTACTGTTATAGCACTGCCATTTGACAACAATTTGTCTAAATAGAGTATCGTGGCACAATAGAGAGTAGTACATATTCTGTCACTATTGACAACATAGATTTACTGTCTTATGAATATATCTAAATAATATCCGACATTAATATGAATGATAAAATACCTGTTAATGTTGATGACAAAAAGTGCAGGCCGTCTCTTAGCAGAATATGTTTCTCCCCAATCCTCCTCCCAGTCTCCTTGACCTTTCCAGCTACCGTAATCCTTCTCTGCACAACCACCTTTCATGTAACCCGTATTGTTAAATACTGGCTTTGTAGAAGAGGGCTCTTCTGCTACATATGCTATCAATATTTCACCCGAGTTCCAAGAAACACCCTCAAACCTAAACAACAGTAAAAGATAATGAAGGAATAACTTTAAAATGGATGAGTGCTAATGAAATCGTGGAATAATGCAGCCTTTACAATCCAAATTATCAGAACATTTGAAAGCGAGCAACTAATACCAGATGCTAATAAGCTAAAACTTAGAATCATAACCACAGTTAGAGTTGCGATTACTGAATGTGGCAAAATTGCTTTCAAGATGGTGTGAAAATCTCTAAAACTTTGATTCTGTAGCTAAAAGTAGTATGGTTTTAAATTGTTATTGCAGTTTCACTTAACATATTTAGTGAATAGTGCTCCTTGATATTGCAAAAATTGCAAATAAATGAAGTTGGCAATATAACTAACTAATATAACCAATTTCTAAGTAATCATAATCCAGGACCAATTTCACCATCCACTAATGGAGCTCTATATAGACTAGTCCAACACATAAACTATTGGCACCTGGAGGGTTCGAACATGAGACTTAGAGAGGAATACAACTTTCAAACCTTCACCACCGGACCAACTCATGAGGGTTTCTAACTAACTTAAACAATAGTAAACTAATTCTAATTAATATGAACAGATATCTAACAGTTTCATTGCAACTCTTATTAAAATGCAAATACACATTTCAATCTCCTAGGTCATGCGAACTAACCATCCATCATTATATACCGAACCATGCATTGTTTGAGGAATATGAAACTCCTTCTCCAAGCTCGACGAACTCCAAATCTGAAAACAAGAAGTAGCATCATCTTCTTTATTCTCAGGATTCCGAATCACCAAAAGCTTAGAACCAGACGGAGACGGAACAATCATAGAAACATCACCACACATCTCTATTGGAAACGGAGCCCACTGAAACTTAACATCAGAATCGTTATTTGTTTCTTGTTTAACAAGTTCACAGGAGAGAATTGAAGTTTTGGTTTTGTTGGTTAAAAGATGAGGTTGGGTGAAAGTAAACATTCCGAGTGTGTTGTTGAAAAGCCATGCTTTATGAATGTTGGGAATGGTGGTGAAGTGTGGAAGTAAGTTGGATAGAGAAGCATAGAGTTCTTCTTCCTCAAACTGCATTTCTGAACCTGAATTGAAACAATGTTTTGAGTTTAATTAAATTCAATAGTGGGTAATGAGGAGCTTGATGATTATGTAGGTGTGTGGATTTTGAAGAGAAGAAAGATGATTTACAGCTTGGAGTATTTGACTTTTAGGATTTGGTTGGAAAGGAATCAATCTCAATTATAAAGTTTACATAATATTGATAAAGTACTCACTCCATTCCAAAAATAAAAGTTATAGAAAGATGTTTTAGGCATTTCACTCCAAACAAACGTAGTTATCTTTAAACAGTAGTGGATATTTTAGGTGAATAATTTAATTTACATTACATAACCACCGAAATTTCTAATATCTAATAAGATAAAATTGGTTGGATGATAAAAGAAGGAGAAATAACATTAGAAAGAGAACCAACCAATTCTAACACATGGCGCTAACTTCTTCACTCTCACTCATTCCTCCCATCATCACATCTCCACCCAAACTCACTTCTAAATCCTTCTCATCTCTATCACCACCCAACTTCCATGGCATCTTCACCAAATCCAACAACAACTCATCAAAATTCTTGTTGAATGCTGGTTTCAATCTTGTTGAGCCTGACCTCAATGAAGAACCTATAGACCAATTTCGCACTAATGGCATTGCAATTGTATTATTATTATTATTATTATTATTATTATTATTATTATTATTATTATTATTATTATTATTTTCTCATCCACTTCATTTTTCTTCATTCTTTTTCTACTAAACTTTTGTTCTGGACTAATGGGATTTGTTTATTTTGTGTGAATTTTAGGAAGATTTTGAGTTTGGAATATTTGATGGTCACCATACTTTCCATGAAGGAGAAGTTGAGAGAGGTAATTTGCTTTTTCATTAATGCTTACTCTCTTTGTTTCGGTTTCATTTCATTTTTTAATGGAAATTGGTGAACATGTTGCTATGAATTTATTTGTATTTTAATTTATGGATATTATTACTAGTTGTTTGATTGATGGCAAAATTTGTTATGAATATTCATTGCAGGAACGTTTTGGGGTGGAATTAAGGAAGACATAGAAGGAGCAGGACCCCCCACTGGATTTCAGGGTAGTTTTACATGCATAAACAGTTTTCATTTTTCATTTATTTTATATTATAACTACTTCCTCCGTTTAAGGTTTTTGCATATAGATTAAGACTCGTTTGGGGTTTTCAACCTTACTCAATACTTAATGCAATTTTGACTATAATTATTGATTTTGATTATTTTTTGATTCTAACTTTTATTCTAATGCAGGTTTAATTTCATGGCTCTTCCCACCAGCCATGGCTGCTGGAGTATTCTTCAATGTTCCGGTAATTCTAAATGCTAATTAACTTTAATAAAGAAAGACTCAATCTATCAATCTATAAATCCTAAGTACTATGCTGTATTTCAGGGTGAATACTTGTTCATTGGAGCAGGAATATTTACAATAGTATTTTGCATAATTGAGATGGATAAACCTGATCAACCACACCACTTTGAACCTGAAATATACAACATGGAAAGAGTAGCTAGAGACAAGTTGATAAATGAGTATAATTCTATGAGTATATGGGATTTCAATGACAAATATGGTGACCTTTGGGATTTTACAATCCAGAAGGATGCAAGTGACATTATGAAGAGATAATTAATTGTTTCAAGTTCTTGTTTATATCTAGGTGACAATTCTTACTAATATATAATATGAATCTCAAGCACACCATTATAAATTTGTTGCTTTTGTATTTTATGTTGAATCAAGATCTGTATATTCCTTATTTCTATATACAAAGTTCATATTTCAAAATTCATCCCTTTCTCTTCTCTATTTCTCTGTACTTCTTTGGTTTCTAATATGAAATCGAGAGCTTAATTGATCCTCAGCCATGGCTTCCCGAAACAAACTCCACGAACACGACGAAGAACACAGTGAGCGAATCTTCATTTGTTTCAACCTTCAACTAAAAAAATATCTTCAAAACTTTCATAGAACAAGTCACACTCAAACTCAATGAAAACAACTTCCGATCATGGAAACAACAAATTGAGGGAATCATTCGCACGCATAAACTTCATCGATTTCTCGTAAGTCCAGATCTGCCACCGCGATACCTAACTGACGTCGATCGCGCGAATGATGAAGAAAATCATGTGTTCGTCGCGTGGGAGCAGCAAGATTAGCTCCTCTTCACCTGGCTTCTCACAACACTATCAGATTCTGTGTTGCCTCGTGTCGTTTGCTGTGTGCATTCGCTCAGTTCTGGGATGAAATCCACAAATATGTGTTTGTTCACACCAATGCAGAATCGCGCCAGTTGCGATCGAAACTGAAATCCATCACCAAAGGTAACAAATCAATTTCTGCTTATCTCGCGAGGATTCAACATGTTGTTCACATTTTGGAATCGATTGATGATCCAATCTCGCATCGTGATCAACTTGAAGCTATTCTTGATGGATTACCAGAAGAATACAATGCCTAACATTAATCATTCAGTATTGTCCAAGCTTATGTCCTATAATTGAAACTGAATCCATGCTTCTTGATCATGGAGCAAAATTGGACAAATCCAAGAAGACTGTATTAACTGAACCTCTTCCCATCAATGTTGCGTAAGCTTCACCTCACAATTCACAGTCTGCATCTCAGGTTCCACCTTCTGACTCCTCTAACACGATGCAAATACATTCTACGCCTAATTTTACTGATCATCGTGGTGGATTTTGTGGAGGATGATCCTTTCATGGTGGAGGAGGCATATTTGGTGGTAGATTCAAAGTTCAATGTTAGAATTTGTTTCAAATCTGGTCATGATGCTAGCATATTCTACCATAGACATACATTTATGATGCCTTCTTGGAATGGATCATCTCAGCATCCACGACCTAACTGGAATCAATGGACTAACTCACAAAAGGCACCCTATGTATCTACTGCTAGTCCAAATCAGTGGCTTGCTCCTCAAACGTTTGCTGCTAAAACTGGTCAAATCAGTGGTTCCCTCAGGCTCTCAGAGTCTCTTCTCTTAGTTTTTCTTCCATACCTACGCATCAGCCTCAAGTTTACTTTACTGGTTGTTAGAGTCACATCAGAATTTATAACTTCTAATAATAATATGAAATATCACCCTCACTAAAGTTGAATATGAAATGTAGCTAGAACAATAAAATATCTAAAGAAGAAAGATTGAATTTATAAGAGAAAACTACTTTGTATATATGTTATTGTTCTTATGTTGTTGTATCAGACAAACATAAGCTTACATTTATATAGTAACTCATGTACTATAACGTGAGTGATCTACATTTCATACAAATATCAGCCTTTGTCTTCCTATTATTACTCATTAGGTTGAATGGAGTATGTTGCATTTACCAAACTCAATGTTTTCATATTTAGCTTTGCTAAATATTCCCTTATTCCCACAATTCTCCACCTCGTTCATCATTTGAAACATTCAAATTTTGGACAAATATGGAGTAATGTTTAACAAGTTCAAGCAATGTTGGAACTTGTTACCTGACACAATCTTGGTTAACATGTCAGCTGGGTTATCATCAGTATGTACCTTCGTAAGAGAAATACGACCTTCCTCTACGACATCCCGTACAAAATGATATCTTACATCAATATGCTTGGTTCGAGCATGATGAACCTGATTCTTAGCCAAATGAATTGCACTTTGACTATCACACATCAGTCTCACGCGTTCTTGCTTAACACCCAAATCACCTAGAAGACCCCTCAACCACAATGCTTCCTTTACTCCTTCTGCTACTGCCATGTACTCGGCTTCCGTAGTTGAGAGTGCCACTGTAGACTGTAACATCGACCGCCAACTAACTGGAGCACCATGTATTTGAAATACATAACCAGTAGTAGATCTTCGTCTATCTAGATCACCAGCATAATCTGAATCAACAAACCCGCTTATTTGACATGTATCTCCACCAAAACACAAACCAGTATTAATGGTACCTTTTAAGTACCTCAAAATCCATTTTACTGCTTCCCAGTGCGCCTTTCCAGGATTCGCCATGAACCTGCTGACAACACTTACCACTTGTGAAATATCTTGACGTGTACACACCATAGAGTACATCAAACTGCCAACTGAACTAGCATAAGGTACATTTTCCATGTATGCCTTATCTTCTGCTGTAGTGGGAGATTGATTACCAGAAAGCCTAAAATGTGGAGCTAATGGAGTAACCACTGACTTAGCACCTTTCAGTCCAAACCTTTCAACAACTCGTTCTAAATAACCTTTTTGACTCAAGAACAATTTCTGGTTTATCCTCTCTCTTCTAATCTCCATGCCCAGTATTTTCCTTGCAGCGCCCAAATTCTTTGTCTCAAACTCTTTACCAAGCTTAAACTTCAACTTATTTATCTCCACCTTGCTTTTTGAAGCAATAAGCATGTCATCGACATACAATAATAGATAGATATAATTACCTCCATGAAGCTTCTGAATATAGACACAACTGTCATAACTACTTCTAGAGAAACCTTGTTTTATCATAAAAGAATCAAATCGCTTGTACCACTGTCTAGGAGATTGTTTCAACCCATAAAGTGATTTTCTCAAGCGACATACTTGACTCTCTTTACCCTCAACCTTGTATCCCTCGGGTTGATACATATATATCTCCTCATCTAAGTCTCCATGCAAGAAGGTTGTCTTCATGTCTAGTTGTTCCAGCTCAAGATCACCATGAGCTACTAAACTTAATAGCACCCGGATAGAAGTATGTTTCACCACCGGAGAAAGTATCTCATTGTAATCAACTCCTTCCTTTTGTGCAAACCCCTTGGCCACTAGTCTAGCCTTATATCTTGTACCGCACGACTTAGTATGATCTTCTTTTCTTTTATACACCCACTTACAACCGATAGCAGACTTTCCTACTGGCAATGAGACCACCTCCCATGTCTTGTTCTTGTGAAGATATTGCATCTCTTCCTCCATAGCAACCAACCAACTCTCTCTATCTTTGTCTTTGATAGCTTGCTTGAAGGTGACCGGCTCATCATCTTCAACTGAGAGTGCATATTTCACCAAGTTAACCTGCCCATAATGCCTCAGAGGTTTGTCTGACCCAAACTTCTGAACTAGTTTATAATTTCTCTTTGGCCTAGTGGCATCCAAAGATTCTTGCTGCTGTTGTTGTAACACATGTGTATTTTCTTGTTGAACCTCCTTATGATCACATTCATCCTCTTCCTCGTCTTCACCGGCGATAGGATTCTCCACCTGACCACAACTAGAATCTGGTTGATCTTCAGATTCTATCTCAATAACTTGCTTATTTGATATCGTCACATCACCATCATTAGGTTCAATAGCTTTTGACAAAGCTACCAAAGATTTTTCGTCAAATGTAACATCCCTGCTGATCACAAACTTAGAATCTTCTACACTCCAAAGACGATAGTCTTTGACCCCTTTTGCATATCCTAGAAAGATAGCTTTCTTGGCTCTATTATCAATTTTGTTATCCTTAACGTGATAATAGGCTGTGCATCCGAAAATTTTTAGTCTTTGATAATCAGCATGTTCACCTGACCACACCCTATAGGGTGTGTCTCCACCTAAACTAGAATGTGGGGATCTGTTCACTACATAACAAGCTGTCGCAATCGATTCTGCCCACCATTCTCGACCTAACCCCGAATTAGAGCGCATACACCTTGCTTTCTCAAGAAGTGTACGGTTCAGTCTTTCTGCGACCCCATTCTGTTGTGGTGTGCCTTTGACCGTCCAGTGTCTAACAATGCCTTCCTGATTACAAAACCTCTTGAAAGCTCCATCCGTATACTCTGTACCATTATCCGATCGCAGAGTTTTCGGCCTTCTACCCGTTCTGTTCTCAACCATTGCTTTCCAACACTTGAAAATATCAAATACCTCATTCTTATGCTTAAGAAAATAAATCCAAGCATACCTTGAATGATCATCAACATATGTAACAAAATACCTGGAACCACCCTTAGAAGTAACCGGAGTCGGACCCCAAACGTCAGTATGCACGTAGTCTAATATTCCCCTGCTTTTATGCTTGCTTGTAGAAAATCGCAACCTATGTGCTTTTCCATACACACAATGTTCACAAAATTCCATGCATGGCTTTTCCATGTTCTTCAGCAAACCTTTCTCACCAAGCAATGATAGAACCTTTTTAGACATATGCCCAAGGCGCATGTGCCACATCCTCGTACATTCAGTCTGGTATTTACTTCTATTGATTCCAACTGCCAAATCACCTGTGACAGTTTCCCCCATAAGAGGATAAAGATTCCTGTGACGAACCCCCTTCATCACAACCAACGAACCACGAACAACCTTTAAGACTCCATTTTCCAAGATTATTTTGCAACCATTTTCCTCTAATACACCAAGAGAAATAAGGTTTTTCTGCAATTAGGGACATGTCTCACGTTCTTCAAAGTTCTTACCGCTCCATCATGCATCTTGATTCGTATTGTACCATACCCCATGATTTTACAGGCATGGTTATTCCCCATTAAAACTGTACCACCATCTGTGCTTTCGTAGGTAGTAAACCACTTCCTATTTGGGCACATATGGTGTGAAGCTCCTGAATCAAGCATCCATCTCCTGGAGATATCATGGTCTTGCTCTG